TTTAATCAGCAGGGCTTCCATATAGTTGGCTATGGTTGTACAACCTGTATTGGGAATTCTGGGGATTTGGATGAATCAGTATCTGCTGCTATATCTGACAACGGTAATTTTCGAATAAGATGAGCTGATAAGATCTTGTAAACGGGGAATGTGATTGCTTTACAAAATGGGCTGGCTTTACGTGTTAAATACGATTGAGCAAGTTTACTGTTTCTTTTTCACCTTGATAATTCTAATTTTGTAAGTACTTTGTAATGCAGATATTGTTGCAGCTGCTGTGCTCTCTGGGAACCGGAATTTTGAGGGTCGTGTTCATCCACTGACCAGAGCAAACTACCTTGCTTCACCTCCTTTGGTGGTGGCTTATGCCTTAGCTGGCACGGTATGCACTGGCTGTTATATATTTATTTTTTCTTTGGGTTAATTTTGGGCTGTGGAAGGATAAAATGTAAACGTACTGTTTTGGTTCCTTTAGTCAAATTAAGTTTTAAGGTGGATTTTAGAGAGGTAGTGGTATGGAAAATAATCAATACTTTCTTGCCCTAACCTGTTTGTAGTTTTTAACTCTTTTGTAGTTTAAGGTTCGGGGATTTTGGTTGAAAAAATAGGAAGGCGTGCCTTTTACTCTTGGTGGTACATCCACAGCTTATCTGGTGCATTGCTTGTAAAGCTCTTTGTTGGTTTACAGATAGGAATTTGAGGAATTTCTTAAAATTTGAAAAGGGATTTTGTTGGTCATGAGAACGTTTTTTGCTTCTTTAATTTGTAACGTAACAACTGTAGATCGTTTTCTAATTAAAATATGGTACTACTGTTTTATCAGTTCCAAATCAATGGTGTTCTATTGCCTCCCTTGGCCTGATTTGGGTGATGTCCTATGCCTTTGATGGGAAATTTTCAACTCTAAATGTTAGAAAATATACATTTTTTTTTTTTATATTAAGAATATAAGCACTTAAAATTTTTATTTTTTAGGTCTGTCACCCTCTAACATTCGGTATAAATCTATTGAGTTAACTGGTGTAAAAAACGTTTTCCAGGTTGATATCGACTTTGAGAAGGAGCCAATTGGAAAAGGAAAGGATGGAAAGGATGTCTATTTCAGAGATATCTGGCCGTCTACAGAAGAAATAGCTGAGGTAGGTAGTTTTTTCGTTGAAGTAAATTGTATACATTTTAAAAGGAATAATGGATTTAACGTGTTTGAAATTTTTGTATTAGGTTGTTCAATCCAGTGTATTGCCTGACATGTTCAAAAGCACTTATGAATCTATTACAAAAGGAAACCCAATGTGGAACCAACTTTCAGTTCCTTCTGGCACCCTGTACTCATGGGACCCCAATTCCACCTATATTCATGAACCACCCTACTTCAAGAATATGACCATGGACCCTCCAGGAGCACATGGTGTTAAGGATGCTTACTGCCTATTGAATTTTGGAGACAGTATCACTACGGATCACATTTCCCCTGCAGGAAGCATCCACAAAGACAGCCCTGCAGCAAAATACCTTCTTGAGCGTGGAGTGGATCGCAAGGATTTCAATTCTTATGGAAGTAGGCGTGGTAATGATGAGGTGATGGCAAGGGGTACATTTGCCAATATCCGTCTTGTGAACAAGCTTTTAAATGGTGAAGTGGGCCCGAAGACGGTTCATGTTCCCACTGGAGAGAAACTTTCTGTCTTTGAAGCAGCAGAGGTGAGTATTTTAGTTCTCTTATATGCATACTGTTTTATAAAAGAAAGTAGTTTATATGCATGCTTTTCCCCAATATTTTCCTGTTTTATTTTCTTTGCCTGTGCTCGATGCGACTCTAGCTTGAAACCTAGACACTTGTAGTGAAGAAACGTGTGAAAACTAGACGATGGATCCTTGAATCTGCTTTTATTATCTAACGAAGAATAGGACTGGTTGTTTAGAAACATTCCATGTAAAAATTAGAGGCATTTTGCTTATATTGTGATATTAAATGATCCTGAAATGTAATAATTATTTCAGGAACCTTTTGTATATATTTGTTTAAAATGATGACTCAGTTCTTGCAATCTGTTTTATGTTTTAGAAATACAAGTCGGCTGGTCAAGACACCATTGTACTGGCCGGGGCAGAGTATGGAAGTGGAAGCTCTCGGGATTGGGCGGCCAAGGGTCCAATGTTGTTGGTAAGTGTTTGAAACCCATAAAGATGGATTCTTCAGAGTTTTTTTTTTTTATTCAAACCTGGACTAAGCATCTTCTGTATTTATTGGCATCAGGGAGTTAAAGCAGTTATTGCCAAAAGCTTTGAGAGAATTCATCGTAGTAACTTGGTGGGAATGGGTATCATCCCACTTTGTTTCAAGTCTGGTGAGGATGCTGACTCACTCGGATTGACTGGACACGAGCGTTACACGATTGACCTCCCGGACGACATCAGTAAGATAAGGCCTGGCCAAGACGTGACTGTCACCACTGATTCTGGAAAATCTTTCACTTGCACTGTTCGTTTCGACACTGAGGTAATTCCTCATTCTTTTCCTTCCCCCCAATCCCCAATCATTGGATTTGGCTTTGAATGCTTTTTCATTCACGATCTCTTGAGAGGCGCATATCATAATCCACAGCGTCGAATTTTCCTCTGATTTCGATTCCTCTGCAGGTGGAGCTTGCCTATTTCAACAATGGAGGTATCCTTCCATACGTCATTCGGAATCTCATTAAGCAATGAGCAACTTCAGGAGTCTCTGATTAAGCAGCAGCATGGGGCTTTGTCGTGAACTCGCCCTGTTTTTTTATTCCCCATTTTCATCAATAAGTGAAAAGAAAATCCCTGGTGGGACTCAATTTTTTTGAATAGAGAGCGATGCAAGCAGGCAGGGTTTGCCTGTCAAGAACTGTTGAGGTTGTTGTATTTATTCCAATTGTAACAAATACTTTCACCTGCCAGTTTCCACTCTTTTAATTATTGCGTGGGTTAACTACGCCGCAGAAATCAAGATGGATGGTTAGATCCACATTGTTAGGGTTGATGATAAAAATGAAGGTTAAACATAATTTGATGAACTATTAAATTCCCTCGAGTCTGAAAGAATGATATTATTTATTGATTTAAAGTTCAGAAGGGGAGGAAAATAAATCTTTGAGGTTCTTCACCAACAAAGGAATCGGAAAGAGCCCAGTTTGAGAATCGGGAAGAGCCCAGTTTAAGAATTGGGTGCTTTTGGGTGCTTTTGATTCGGCATGAACATGATTTGAGAGTTGGATGCATACAACGATAAAATTGGGTGCTCTTTTGATTAAGCACTACCGTGAATTGTGTGTACATACCTGACCATCAGAAAATTGGGTGTTCCTGATTTAAGTGCGACCACAGTTTGAGAATCGGATGCTCTCGATTAAGCACGGTCACAATTTGAGAATTGGGTGCATATAGTTGACATCAATTTGAAAATTGGGTGCTCTTGATTAGACACAAGTCCTATCCATCTGACCACAGCTTGCGAATTAGGTGCTCTTAATTAGGTACAAGTCTGCTCTTGATTAAACACAACCACAAGACTAAAGGCTTCTGAAAGTTTAGAGACCGGAATAAAAGAGATCATGTAACAGTCTAAATCCATCGATAGCAAATATTGTCCCTTTGGGTTTCCCCTCGAGGTTTTGAAACGCGTATACTTCACACCCTTACAAAGGATATTTTGTTCTCGTCATTCAACATTTTATTTAATTCAACTTTCAAAGAGAGGGTATTCCTACCTACCACCAACATTGGGTGGGATGCAAATCACTTAATGCAAATCACTTAAGATTTTATTTTGTGTAGTGGTGAATGTGCATCACGTGATGTGACAAATTTGGCGAGTAATTTAGTACTCAATTATTGAGCTGAAAAGTTACCCTTTTGGTTACAAAGGACGGCATGTCCACTTCATTTTTGCTCCCTTCTATTTGTACTTTAGCATTAGGATCCTTATATTTAACAAGCATAATATAAATTAAATTACTATAGCTACAATCAGCAATGCCAAACGATAATTCATTTCATATATTTAAATACAATTAAACAATTATTTATTGTTAATTAATTGAAGAATTTTGGACAAATAAATACGGACTTGTGCTCCTTTAATTATTAAATACATGGAAATCCCTTTTATTTTTTATTTTTATCTGAAATACCAACTAACCAGTAAATAATATTTCCAATAAATATTAAAAAGATAAAAGAAATGTTAACTCAGATCCACAAAAAATATATTTTTGTTTATAATTTCCTAATATTAGTGGGCCTCACATCTCTTTAATTGATGGTGAGAATGACGTAGTAATTATTCAAATTTTGTATTTTTCGAAAAATATATATATTTGAAGAAGTGGTCATAATATGATTACATCGAGAAAAAAAAAATTCAATTTTTAGCCCCCCGTTAGTCGATATTGCCCATTTTAGCCCGTTACGCATCACCATCAGCCTCACGATTTCAAAACACACATGTTAGGAAGAGATTTCTATACCGTTTCTAAGGAATACTTCATTCCCCTCGCCAACCGATATCTCACAATTCACCCTTTTGGAGCTCAGTGTCTTCAATGACACTGCCCAATCAAATACTATTTATAACAGCTTAAACCTCACCACTAATAGATATTGTTCACTTATCACCATCAGCCTCACGATTTTAAAATGCGTATGTTAAAAATAGATTTACACACCGTTATGAAGACACTGTTTCTTTCTACTTTCCAACCGACATGAAATCTCAAAATAATATTTATATGTTGGCGAATTTTAGATAGAAGGTTAACATGAGAACCAATAATTTGAAGTAGTAACGTGTCCCATCCCGTTGTCTTCTGATCTTATCCTGGGTGTATATTATTTAAAAAGTTACATGCAAATGATACCATAAACTACAGCTTTTAATTAGTTTGTCCAATACAAAAGAAGCACCACAAAAATAAAATTAAAAATATTAATGACGTCATAAAAAGACTTATAAATTAAAGGGCTGAGAGAGAGAGAGAGAGAGAGAGAGAGAGAGAGAGGATGGAATATGGGTATGAGAATAGAGATATTGAGGAGCCATTGGTGCAGCCGGCGGCGAAGAAGCATGGGCCAAGCGGCGAGCTGGAGAAGATATTATCGGACACAGAGTTGCCCTTCGTGGTTCGAATCCGGCTGGCGGCTTGGATCGAGCTGAAGCTGTTGGGTTATCTGGCGGCGCCGGCGGTGTTCGTGTACATGATCAACAACTTCATGTCCATGTCCACCCGCATCTTCTCCGGCCACCTCGGCAACGCCGAACTCGCCGCCGCTTCTCTCGGCAACAGCGGCGTTCAAACTTTTGCTTACGGTCTCTTGGTATGTTTTTAATTTCACTTAAAACCCTTTTATTTCCAATTAATAAAACATTAAATTTCAAATTTAATTCTTTTTTTTGTTATATAATTTCAAATTTTAATTTATGCTTATAACTTATTTAATTTTTAAAATTTTAATTTTGTAATTAATATGCTTTAAATTTTTTTAATTTTATGCCAATAATATGTCGATGGTATATTATATATTAATTTCTTTTAAACTTCAATTTCCTACTTCTAAACTTCAAAATATTTAAAAAGTTTTAAAATTTTTTAAAAATTATCTTATTATATATTAATTCTTTAAAAAAAAAAAAAACTTTAAATATGCTTCTAAACTTTAAAATAGGTAAAAAGTTTTAAAATTTTCAATTTTATGAATATGCTTCTCAACTTTAAATTTTAAAATGTTTAAAAATATTTATAAAAAAAAAATTCAATTTTGTAATCATAAGATGTAGAATCATGGCTCTGATACCATGTTAGACGAACACGACTCGAACACGACTCTCCAGTATGATATTGAACATAAGTTCTTATGGCTTTGTTTTGGGCTCTCCAAAAGGACTCGTAGCAATGAAGAGTGTAATTTTTTATTATAAACCCATGATCCTTTCCTAAATTAGCCTTTTGATATTAATTTTTTTATATTTCAATTTTATACTTAATATAAAATTTGAACGAAGTTTTTTTATTTTTTTTATTAGAATTTTTAATATCTATCACATATTAAAAAAAAATTAAAAATTATTTGATATTATATACAAAATTATTATTATTATTATTATTTTTTTTTTTGTCAAATAGGCCTATTAATTTCGTGAATTTTAAAAACAATAATGAAAAATTAAAAAATAAAACTTAAACGAATTATTTAATATAAATTTAAAAGTTTATATGATAATTTGAAATATTAATTTTGAATTTGTTATATGATAATTTGATGTAACAGTTGGGAATGGGGAGCGCCGTGGAGACGCTGTGCGGCCAAGCTTACGGCGCCGGAAAATACGAAATGTTAGGAATTTACTTACAAAGATCCTCAATTTTGCTAACCTTAGTCGCCTGTCTCTTAGCTCTTCTCTACGTCTTCTCCAAACCCCTCTTGCTGCTCCTCGGCGAGTCGCCGGAAATTGCTTCGTCGGCGGCCGTTTTCGTGTACGGTCTCATCCCTCAAATCTTCGCCTACGCTGTTAACTTCCCCATCCAGAAGTTTCTTCAGTCCCAGAGCGTGGTGCTTCCCAGCGCCTACATATCGGCGGCGACGCTGGTGGTGCATTTGGTGCTGAGTTGGGCGGCGGCGTATAAGCTGGGGTTTGGGTTGTTTGGGGCGTCGTCGGTGCTCAGCCTGTCGTGGTGGATCATTGTAACGGCGCAGGTTGTGTATATTGTGAAGAGTGAGAGGTTTAAGGAGAGTTGGAGAGGGTTGAGTTGGGCGGCGTTTAAGGGGCTGCCGGAATTCTTTAAATTGTCGGCGGCGTCGGCGATTATGCTGTGCTTGGAAACTTGGTACTTTCAGATTCTGGTTTTGGTTGCTGGGTTGCTTGATAATCCTGAGTTGGCTCTTGATTCCCTCTCCATCTGGTACTAATCTTTTCTCTTTCCTTTCTTCCTTCTTCGTCGTTCTTGTTTCGTTCCTGAATTTTTTAAAAAGGTTTGAAATTACTCGAAATTTCGAGACTAAATTAATTTAATTTTGTATTTAAGGTTGTAATAGTCCAAATTCACCGCTAACAGATTGATTCGATTTTGTATTTAAGTTTAATAATCCAAACCCACGTATGCCTTTCCATTTTGGACTTCGGTTCAAGGTTTTAAAACACGTCTGCTATGAGGTTTTCCACATACTTCTAAATAATGTTTCGTTTTCCTCTCCTGATGTGGGATCTCATAATCTACCCCCTTCGTAACCCAGCATTTTCGTTGGCACTTGTTACCTTATCCAGTTGATGTGGAACCCCCCAATCCACTCTCTTTCGGAGCAAGCGTCCTTGCTCGCAAACAACCTCGAGTCTACCCCCTTTAGGGTTTATCCTCTAAGTTGGCACATTGCCTGATGTCTTGTTAAGTTACCATTTCTAATAGTCCAAGTCCACTCAGTGTCTAGGTCTTTGCTGCTAGCACATATTGTCCTCTTTCGATTTTTTTTTCCTCGAGGTTTTAAAACACATTTCAAGGGGAATTTTCCACACCCTTATAAACATAAATTCTCATTATTTTTTCAAGTTGCCAAACGGGGCACAAACGTCTCATTTTTCGGGCCAACCAGGGCCCAACATCCTTGCTAGCAAATCGCCTCGTGTCCACCATTTTGGAGCTTAACCTCCAAGTTGGTATATTCTCGCTTTAATGTCATTTGTAATAACTCAAGCCCACTGCGACCAGATATTGTCCTTTTTGAGCTTCCCTCAACGTTTTAAAACACGTCTATTAGAAGATTTTTTCACGCCCTTATAAACATAAATTCTCATTTCTTTTTTCAAGTCGTCAAACAGGCACAAACGTCTCATTTTTCGATGGATGAGTTAGGGATAAAAAAAATCCTTTTTAATTTTTAACTTTTTATTTTTATTTTTTAAATCCAATGTTTTAAAAGCCATAATTTTATAAAATTCTCCTACTAATTCTAAGATTTAGAAAAATAAGAATTATATTTTAAAGTTATCAAAAGTATAGAAACTAAATTTATAATTGAAGTAGATAAAAACGTGCTCGTTGTCATTACTCGACACCGACAAAAGTGAGTAGGGTATGTGGAAACTTGATTCATTGATTGTTTTTGTAAGGCAATGTTTGGTGTGTTCCCTTACCTAATTTTTGACACTAATATTTAAAATTTAAAATTATATTAAAAAAAAAAAAAAAGGGATAATTCTGAATTTGAAGTTTTATTTATTTATTATTTATTATTTATTTATTTGCAGTATGACCATTAACGGATTGGCATTCATGATTTCTGTTGGCTTCAATGCAGCTGCTAGGTATTGTTTCTTTCTCTTTCTTCCCAATAATATAAATATATATATTTTAACAATTTTAATATCAAAACTTATTAATTTATAATACTTTTTTTTAGAAAACAAAAATAATATTAAAAGAAATTAAACCCAAATATAATGAAAAATAACTATTTTGTATGATGAGATATAATTTAAGAAATTAAATTTGATTTTTAGTTATAAATATTGGTTTGCTTCTTAAATAAATTTTTTAGATCGAATTTTAAATTTAATGGCCACGTTTTTTTTTTTAATTGGGTTTGTTTCCTCACATAATTTTCACTTTTATTAAAAATTATTTAATTTTTTAGTCAAATTTAAAAAATAAAAATAATGTTACTCTGGCCAGATGATTATTTAATTTTTTTAAGTTATTTTTATCAACATTACTAGATTATGTGATTTTGTATATTTACTTTTTAATAATATTTTTAAAATTCAACCCAAATTTTGACAATTTAAAATAAATAAATAAATAAATAGGTGATAAAACTATGTTTTTAGTTTTAAAAATATTTATAAAAAAATGTTGAACTAGTATTTAAAATTTAATTTTGAAGCTAAAAAACTAAAAATTAAGCTCGAAATGAAAACGGGTCGCATCGTAATATACTCGACAATTATTTTTAAAAAATTAAACAGTTGAGTAAAATTTTAAAAGCTAAAAAATTTGGACGTTAAAAACCGAAAAAATAAACAAGTTGTTGGATGAATGTCGGGTAATTTAGGGAATGATAATGTGTTTATAATCAAGGAATACTTTCTCCATTGACATCAAGCATTTTTGAAAGTCTAAAGTAAAACTATGAGAGCTTATGTTCGAAGTGGACAATATGATATGAGTGTGAAGAGTCGTGTTCATCCTTGAAAAAAAAGCATGTTTTTTAAAAATTTTTTTTTCTTAAATACTTAATTTTTGTATGGTTTGGATTTGGTAGCGTGAGAGTGGGCAATGAACTAGGACATGGGCATCCCAAATCCGCAGCCTTTTCAGTGGTGGTGGTGGTAGCCATTTCCTCCCTCATTTCTATACTCGTCGCCTCCGCCGTCCTTTCATTCCGCAACGTCATTAGCTATCTCTTCACCGACGGCGCCACCGTCGCCGCCGCCGTATCTGACCTTTGCCCTTTCCTGGCCGTCACTCTCCTCCTCAACGGAATCCAGCCTGTTTTATCTGGTATTATTATTATTATTATAATAAATTATTATTATTATTATTATTATTATGGTGTTAATAAAAGAAATGCAGGCGTGGCTGTGGGATGTGGGTGGCAATCTTTTGTTGCTTTGGTCAATGTGTGCTGCTATTACTTTGTTGGCTTGCCCTTCGGAGTTCTCCTCGGTTTCCACTTTCAACTTGGAGCTAAGGTACGGTTGTTCCTGTGTTGGGTCGGGTCTGTTAGACAATACGACTCTCCATAATGGTATGATATTGCCTACTGTGAGCCTAAGCTCTCATGGCTTTACTTTAGGCTTCCCCGAAAGACCTCATACTAATGGAAAGAGTATTCTTTCGATATAAACTCATGATCATTCTCTAAATCAGCTGATGTGAGACTTTCATTCAACACCTCCCTTCGAACAAAGTACGCCTCCCCTTAATCGAAGCTCGACTCATTTTTTCTTTTGGAGTCTTAGTCATTTTTTACTATGCCTTTGAGGCGGGAGGCTCTCCCCTTAATCAAGACTCGACTCTTTTTTTTCTTTTGGAGTCTTAGTTATTTTGTACTATACCTTCGAGGTGGGAGGCTCAACTCCTTTTTCTTTTGAAGTTCTTTGTTCGACATTTGAAAATTCTATTGACATGACTAAGTTTAGGGCATACTCTGATACCATATTAAACGAATACGACTTTCCACAATAGTACGATATTGTCCACTTTGACATTCAGAGCACTGGGCAGAAATCCACTTTAACAAGGTCGAGTCGAGTTGGGTTGGACAATTTTAGGTTCATCTCAATTGTTCGAGTCGTAAACATTTTTACCAAAGACAACGTTTATTAAATAATGATTCTAACCCAACTCAATCCAACCATAATTTTTTTTTTGGTACGGTTGGTTCGAGTTGTTGAATAATTTATTCAATTTTTTTTTAATAAAAGTAAAATGTTAGTTTATAAGATTTCTAATTTAATTTTAATATATTTTAGAAAATTACCTTCCAAATTATTTTTATGAGTGGTCGGAGAAAAAAAAAACGTTAAATAAAAATAAAATAATTTTTTTTTTTGTTTCATGTGTAGGGCATATGGCTAGGGATGCTTAGTGGCACGGCGATGCAAACGTGCATTTTAGTATGGGTGACCCTTCGAGCCGATTGGAATAAAGAGGTAACATTATTTTTCTAAGCATATTTTCTCTTATTTCATTCATTTCCGCTTAAATCCAAGTCCACTACTAGCATTTCGTTACGCGCTTCACGATTTAAAAAAACGTCTATTATGGAGAGACAATCAAGCCTTACTCCAATCAATCAGTGCATCATACTTTTCATTGACTAGTTGTAATAGTCAAAGTCCACCGCTACCAGATATTTTTAAAACATGTCTACTAACAAAAAGTTTCCACACCTTTATAATGAATGTTTCTTTCATTTTTCACCAACCGAGGTGAGATCTCACAAAAATACTCTTTTGGTCGTATAATTTTCATTTGATCTTATATTTTTGCTCCGAGTTTTAAATTTATTTTTATTTAGTCTTTTTAAGTATTAAAAATAGAATAACAATTGGGATTGCAGGTAGAGGAAGCAGTGAAAAGATTAAACAAATGGAATGACACAAGCAACAGCCTTCCAAAGGATAAGAGTTGAAGAATTAAAGTTACTTTTGTTCAACCACTTTAATTATTGAATTCAATAATTACTGTGCATTATTTAACCCTAATTTTAAGGAAACAAAAATTATTTTCATAGAAATTTATAATCTAAAATCTCGTAATAATTTTTTTATTATTTAATAATTATTGAGTCATTTTTATTTGCAATTTATATTATGGTACGATAACATTATTAATATAATGTGATATTCCACATTGGTTGGGGACGAGAACAAATCACTATTTATAAAGGTGTGGAAACCTTCTCCTAGTAGACGCGTCCTTGAGGAGAAGTCTGAAAGGGAAAGCCCAAAGAGGACAATATCTGCTAGCGGTGGATTTGAGTCGTTACAAATGGTATCAGAGTCAGACACCGGACGATGTGCCAGCCTTCTCGCTGTTCCCCAAAGAGGGGTAGACACGAGGAGGTGTGCCAATAAGGATGCTGGCCCTAAAGGGAGGTGGATTTGGGGGTGGTCCCACATCGATACGATGTGCCAGCCTTCTCGCTGTTTCTTGAAGGCGGGGTAGACACGAAGAGGTGTTCCAGTAAGGATGCTGGGCCCCAAAGGGATGTGGATTTGGGGGCGGTCCCCCAAAGGGAGGTGGATTTGGGGGTGGTCCCACATCGATACGATGTGTCAGCCTTCTCGCTGTTCCTCGAAGGGGGGTAGACACGAGGAGGTGTTCCAGTAAGGATGTTGGGCCCCAAAGGGATGTGATGTCCCACATTGGTTGGAGAGGAGAACAAATCATCATTTATAAGGGTGTGGAAACCTTCCTCTAGCAGACACATCTGCTAGCGGTAGACCTGATTGTTTAGGTGAAAAAATGATTCACGTGGGAGGAGGTTGTGTGTGAAAGAGACGAAAAGTTGGTGCCTATTTATTGTTTTAATTATTTCTTTATTTTCGTCCGTGTTGGTAATTAAAGAGTTGATTTTTTTTAAAAAGTATTTTTATTATTAAAAAGCCATTTTTGTTTGCTAGTTGAAGTTAATTTAGTAAAAATAATATTAATAATTTAAATTTGAAGTTACGTTTGAAAATTAAATAATTATTGAAAAACATGAGAATTAAATTGGGATATTGTAAAGTACAATGAAATCAATTTTAAATTAAGGAGACCAAAATCATATTTTTAATTAAAAGTTTAATTTAATACCTCACTTAATCAATTTTGGGTCAATAAGTGGGTCCCACCATAAGAAATTAATCGTTACCGCGTGGGGCAGGTAGAGCAACGCAGAATGGTGCTACAAAATTTAAAGTTCATAAATATTTTTAAATTGGTACATTTAAATTTAAAAAAAAAAAAAAAAAACTTTAAATTTTTATTTAAAAAAAAAAAATATTATCATTAATTTTGGAGGAAAAAAAATACCCTCTCAACTTTCTAAATAAAAAATACCCTTTATTTTTTGAATTTTTAATGTTTAATTAATAATAACTTTAAAAACACCTTTGAAAAAAAATAATTAAAAAGTATTTGTACCGTTAATATATAAATATAATAATTTGCCGTTAGTTTCAAAAATATTCCTAAATAATATTAATGGGTTGGAGAGGAGAACGAAACACCCTTGGTGTGTAAACTGTTAGATGAACACGACTCTCGGTTCGTCTGTCGGTAGAAAATTATGGACAATTTATTATGTCTCAAACCATAGGTATTTCATTAGTTCATAAGAATAAATACTAAATTAATCAATGATATTGAGAAAAAGGACAACGATATGATATTGTCCACTTTGAACATAAGCTCTCGTGACTTTGCTTTGGGCTTCTCAAAAGGCCTCATACCAATTGAGATAATATTCTTTGATTATAAACCCATGATCAGGAGGTATTTTGGAGAAGCCTAAAGCATTAACTCTATGGACAATATCAGAGTCGTGTCTGTCTAACCGAAGTCTCTCCCTAACAAGCAAAGAGGAACTGCTAGGGGTGAATCTCGATGGTTACAATTAATTTTTAATTTTTATGCATATTTTTTTATATTAATGGTAGGAGTATTTTTATTTTTTAAATGGAAGGGTATTTAATGAAATTTGATAAAGAACAGTCCGCAGCTATAAATTGGTGCTCAACATAGGAACGAAAAGCCAAAAAGAATCCCTTTCTCTTTGGGACAAAAGATGGGATCTGCTTATGAAGATGATCTCCGACAGGCACTGCTGCAGCCGGCGGCGGCGGCGGCGTTGTTGTCGTCTCAGTCGTTGTGTTCGAACAAGCACGAAGGCAGCGACGAACTGGAGAGGATTCTGTCGGACACAGAGATGCCGGTGGTCCAGCGTTATAGTCAAGCCACGTGGATCGAGATTAAGCTTCTGTTTTACTTGGCAGCGCCGGCGGTTTTTGTGTACATGATTAACTACGCCATGTCGACGTCCACGCAGATCTTTTCCGGCCACCTTGGCAACCTTGAGCTTGCCGCTTCCTCTCTTGGCAATAATGGAATTCAAGTCTTCGCCTATGGTCTCATGGTAATTTACATTGCTAACCCCATCTTATGAACACAAATCCTTACTTTTGTTATATATATATATATATATATATATATATATATATTCCGAGTAGGGTGGGACAGAGAATTAGGTGGGGACGGATCACGAACCTCCACAAATGGTATGATATTGTCCACTTTGAGCCTAAGCTCTCATGACTCATGATCTTCGGGAGATCTCTTTCTCTAGAGCTCTCAAACAGTCTCCCGAGAGCTCTTGAACAACCTCTCCTTAATTGAGGTTCGATGATATTGTCCACTTTCAACATAAGCTTTCATGACCCATGGTCTTTGGGAGATCTCTTTCTCTAGAGCTCTCGAACAACCTTCCTGTAATTGAGGCTCAACGATATTATCTACTTTAAGTATAAGCTCTCATCACCCATGATCTTCTGGAGTCCTCTAGCTCTTGAGCAACCTCTCCTTAATTTAGGCTCGGTGATATTGTCCACCTTGAGCATAAGCTTTTATGACCCATGATCTTCAGAAGGCCTCAATCTCTGGAACAACCTTCCCTTAATTGAGGCTCGACTCCTTCTCTAGAGCCCTCGAACAAAATACACCCTTTGTTTGACCCTGAGTCACCTTTGACTACACTTTTAAGGCTCACAACAACACTTAAGGATTCTATTAACATGACTAAGTCAAGGGCATAACTCTGGCACCATATTAAAAACCATGAACCTCCACAATAGTATGAAATTATCGACTCTTAGCATAAATTCTCATGGATTTACTTTTGGTTTCCTAAAAAAACCAGTACTAATAGAGATAGAGTTCTTTACTTATAAATCCACGATCTTCGTCTTAATTAGCCAATGTGAGAAATTCTCCTCTACCCTAAAAATATTTCCCGCCTAGTTCGATACAAGTTCGCTTGGATTAAATTTGTTGAGGATTATTGGGATTGAGTCCCACATTGGTTAATTTAGTGAAAGATCATAAGTTTATAAGTGAGAAATACTATCTTAATTGGTACGAAGCTTTTTAGGGAAACCCAAAGCAAACCCATGAGAGCTTATGCTCAAATTGGATAATATCATACTATTGTGAAGAGTCGTGATTCCTAACAAATTGACATGTTTGTAAGTTAACATTAATCCTATGTTTTAACCAAACAGTTGGGCATGGGAAGCGCGGTGGAGACGCTATGCGGGCAAGCATACGGCGCCGAGAAATACGACATGCTAGGCATATATTTACAGAGATCAGCCATATTACTAACTCTAACAGGCGTAGTCTTAACCATCCCTTACATATTCTGCAAGCCAATCTTGCTCTTTCTGGGTGAATCCAAGGATATAGCTTCAGCATCCGAGACTTTCGTGTACGGCCTGGTGCCTCAAATCTACGCCTACGCCTTAAACTTCCCCATCCAGAAGTTTCTTCAGGCGCAGAGCATAGTGTTTCCAAGCGCCTTCATATCGGCCGGGACGCTTGTGGTGCACGTGGTGTTGAGCTGGTTGGCGGCCTATAAAATGGGGCTGGGCTTGCTGGGAGTGTCGCTGGTGCTGAGCTTGTCGTGGTGGGTGATCGTGGTGGGGCAATTTGTTTACATTGTGAAGAGCCGGAGTTGTAAGAAGACGTGGCGGGGGTTCAATGTGCAGGCGTTTTCGGGGCTGTTTGGGTTCTTTAAGCTGTCGGCGGCGTCGGCGGTGATGCTGTGCTTGGAGACTTGGTATTTTCAGATTCTGGTTTTGCTTGCTGGATTGCTCGACAACCCTGAGCTCGCTCTCGACTCCCTTTCCATCTGGTAATCCTTCTCTTTCTTTCGTTATTCCTTAATTATAAATTCAGATCATTCCTTAAATTAGTCGACGTTGAACTTTCATCGTTCAATACCTTCCCTCAATCGAGCCTCGACTCCTTTGGAGTCTTAGTCATCTTTTACTGCCTTCGAGGAGGCTTGACTCCTTTTCTTTTGGAGTCCTTTGTTCGATATTTGAGGATTTACCAATCTATTGGCACGACAAAGTTTAGGGCATAGCTCTGATACCATGTTAGATGAACACGACTCTCCACAATGATATGATATTGTCCACTTTGAGCATAAGCTCTCATGGCTTTGCTTTGAGTTTCCCCAAACGGCCTCACTCGAATAGGGAGAGTATTCCTTGATTATAAATCCATGATCATTCCCTAAATTAGCATAGGCAGGACTTTCATCACCCAACAAGTAACACATTTTAAAAATATTATAATGTGTTCATATACCGTTTTCTTTTTTAAAAATTTTATTTATAAATATAAAGACTTTTATATATATATATATATATATATATATATATATATATATATATATAATTAAAGGCATATTTTAAGGAATAAATAAGTGATATAGCATGAGAAAATTATGAAATCTATTGATCAATTTTGGAAGTTGAGTAAAAAATAATGGCAGAAATCATAAAGTGAAATAGAGAAATTATTGGTTTATTCCTATTATTATTATTATTATTAGAAGAAGAAGACGAAAGCTTCGTTATTAGGGGGTTCATTCAAGCCTTGAGTTCAATTATTTCTCTGGCAATATTAAATCTTATTTATTATTTTTGATAACACCGTACCTTTAATTACTATTTTCCGTACAATACT